TAGGGCAGTTCATGGGAATGATGGGCCTCAGAGCTGGCACTTGAGAAGAGCCAGGGACGTGTGTGGCTCTGCTCTGTTTCCCAGTATTCTTTTTATCCTGGCCTCTTTCACTGCTTATTTCCTGGACTGATTGTGTTCTTTCTCTGCTCATCTCTGATGGCATGCCTAGGAAATCATGGGTGGCCCCCCAAAATCTCTCCGTGCAGGAGAGGTGGCCTTATCTGTCTGAAGTCACCCAGCAGGTGAGGTGGAAGTGGGCTGAGGCTCTGGTCTGGCTTCCTTCATCCATCCTCTTGCTTTACAGAGAAAATCTACATCATGAAGGCTGACACAGTGATTGTGGGCTCTGTGAAGACCGAAGTCCCTGAAGGCCGGGCTCCAGCAGGATCGACCGAACCTGAGTCAGAAGCTGAATTGGAAGTGGACCATGCCCCTCACTACCCGGAGCAGGAGACAGAACCACCGCTGGGCAGCTGCACTGAGGTCATGTTCTCAGTAGAAGAAGGAGGAAAAGAGGACCACTGGCCCATGACTGTCTCTGAGAAGTGACACCTGTGTTAGCTGGGGCCAGAAAGCAGCTGAGTGTATCCTGGAGATCAGGTTAGCTCCAAGCTGGGAACCTACTGTGGCCTGAACTAAAGCCCCAGCATACAGTGGGATAGCCCAGAATGAAGCCTTCAGCTGCTACCATGAACACTGGCTCCTGTGCCCCAGGAGTGGGCACTCACTGTCAGGCTAGTGTCTGCTAAGGGAGAAGCCAGGGGCTGGTTCCAAGCCTCCTTGCCCACACCCTTGTGCCCTGCCTTCTCTCAGGGGATGGCTTTACTGGCATGCTACCAGCCTCCGGATGCCGTACACACGGCTCCCTGCGGGCACAGAACCAGCACCTGTTGCCCCTACTCCTGAGGCAAAGGGAAGTTAAAGGACAGACACTCATCCCCACTGGCACCGTGACAGCCTGCACCCATCACACAAGACCGCACCACAGGGAGTGCACAGAGAGACTCTCCTGGCCCAGCTTCCCTGTTCTGAAGCCTACAAAATGGGCTAGATGCAACTCATTGTCCTCGGATGACCCTACCATGCAGCCTTTGGGGACTCAGATGTCTTTGGACCCCCAAGCAGCTGCAGTGACCTCCCTCTCCCACCCAGCGCTGCTAGAGGCTCTGCTTTGCCCAGGGACTTCCTGTCACATGGAGATGGGAGCACTGCCATCCTGGGGGGGGGGGCTCCACTCTCTGTGCCACCCTCGATTCCACCCTAGAAATGAAGAAGCATTTGTCCTTAAGCCACCAGGATCAGGCCTGGCATAAAGCTCCCTGCTCCAGCAGGTCGGAGCCTGGATGTTGGAGGCAGGCTGGTCACATTGCTCTGTGCCCACTGTGAAGAGGCAACACTGGTGGACATGCCTGGAGCTCTGCTCTTAGTTGTTGTTGTTTTTTAAATTCCCTTTGAGGCGCTGGGAATTGAACCCACGGCCCTGTACATTCCAGGCAAATGTCGCAGGGCTGAGTTACATCCTCAATCCCAGCATTTCACACTAAGCACTGAAGCTGCTGTGACTCCCAGCCTGGCTCACTCCCAGGGACCTGCAGCCTCTTGTAACAAACAGGCAGCTGACTGGATGACACGTCTCCCGGTCTGTGGCAGCCTAGGGACTCTGGACTTACCCTTGGGCCAGGCAGGGAGAGTTCTGTTTACTCACCAGCTGCTCACTTCTGGAGGAAGCTGGGGCCCTGTGAGGAATCACGAGGGGAGTTTCTGAAACTGCCTGGATCTCTGCGGGAAAGTTGGAGCAGCTGGGTGCCACCAGGGTGCCATCGGAGGCCTAGACCAGGGTCTGGATACTGGCCAGAAGGGATATGTGTGGGGCCTGGATAGTTGCCCAGCTGCCTTGTGCAAGTACACAGTGGATGTGTGGGCATACCCAGTGACGCTAAAGCCCTGTCATGGTGACCACATGGATGCCACACTCCTGAGTGGAAGATATTGCTAAACTTTCTCTCTCTCTCTCTCTCTCTCTCTCTCTCTCTTTCTCTCTCTCTCTCTCTCTCTGAGATAGGATCTTTTTCTGTATTTCTGTATTCTAGGCTAGACTCAAACTCGATATGTAGCCCAGGCTGACCCTGATCTGTGACCCTCCAATGTCTACTTCCTGAGTGATTTCAGGCTTGACCCACCACGCCAGACTGCCACACACTTCAACCAAGTGATATATTCCTTTGCAAAGTGACCCTTCACACAATTTTTGACCCTCTAAATATCCGGAAGGGCCTGCAAAACCGTGGAAGTGTGAGGTTGTAGACTGATTACAGAAATGAGTGATGAGGGACCGCTGAGCACAGAGGCTGGCAGCTGACCCTCTAACCCCAGAGGGGACACTCTCCATGAGCATGGGCACTCACAGCTGAGGACAGGAGCCTGTGACCAGCTGTGTTCCCCTTAACTCTTTCCTTGTCCATCCAGGCAGTGTCTTCCTGATAAAGGCTTGTCCTCCAAGGATGCTGAGAATAAATGGTCTCTGCTCACAAGGCTCCCTTTGGTGTTTGTAGGAAGAATCCTGGGCCTCTCTAGGACTTTCTTCCTACAGGCAGGTTTGGGCCCCACAGCTTTGGAAGAGGGCAAACTCTTCCATGTTGCTGGCAGAGCTGGGGGTCTGTGGAACCCAGGGCTTCTGTGGCTGAGCAGGAGAGGCCCTGCCACCCTGCACACACAGCAGGGCAGAGCTCCAGCTCCAGGCAGTCAGCCCAGAGTCTCTCCTCGCTGGCTCCTGTCTATCCGTCCCTAGGACTGTCACCCACACCTGTGCCTCACCTCAGCCTGACACCGAACCAGCTGCTGGGTGGCCATGTAGTCAGACCAGGAGCCAGAGCTCTCCCGATGGGACCTTCCGAAGCTCTCTCTGTTCTGATGTCCAGGATAGTGAAGAGCCGGGCCCTTGTTCTCAGGGGGCAGCCCTGTGTGGTGAGGGATTCCGCCCTCACCTCTTTCTGAACAGTTGTCTGCAGTCGGTAAGTGCTCAGTCCTTGGATGCTGTTGCTTCCTGAGGCAGCCCTGTAGAATCTCCAAGACCTGGCACCGGTCCCTGCGACGGGACAAGGGGGCTATGTCCCCAGAACTTCTCCCTCTTGTCCTTCCTTCCCAACAGTGAGTATGCAAGGACTGGTTCTTGGTCATCTTCACCGGGCAGTATTGCACTGAACTGAGTAGACCTGAGAGTGTACATGTAGAGGGGCAGTCCCCAGCTGCAGTTCTCCATGGGTCTCCTCTTGCGCTTATGGAACTGGTGCTCAGACTCAGGTTCAAATCGCAGCTCTCCCACTGACCAACCAGGGAGCTTGCTTGATCACTTGAAGGCTATCATCATCTGTTACTATGACACAACACTTGAGACTGGGAAATTTATTAAGAAAGAAGGTTTATTCTGGCTCATGGTCCTGGCAGGTAGGAAACCCACCCTGGGCAGCCTCATCTAAAGAGGCTCTTGCATTGACTCAGCTGTGGAGCAGAAACCAGGACAAGTAGGTAAAACGTGGGTTAACCTGTTCTCATGGTAACTTCCAGTCCTCAGACAGTGTGGACTCACTCCTGAGGGACCCACAGTCTTATGGACTGTGAGTGCCCTTTGTGACCCAGAACTCCTGGGGTCCCTGCCTCCTACTCTTGCTACAGTGGTGGTTGAATCTCAGCATGGCCCTCCAAGGGGCCTCACCACACTCACCCCACAGCTCTATTTCCTCATCTGTGAAATGGGTATTGGTCTCAACCTGAGAGCACAGTGGGGCTTCCTAGGGGTATCACTTATGACTAGTGACTTGGGTTTTTATTCCACCCCAGTGGCCACTTGTCCAGAGTGAGCTCTTTCTGTGCTATTAGGCATTCTCCCTCTTATGAGAGGGTCTCTTCTCAGAGGGCATTAGACTGGACATATCTGTTTCAGAAAAAATAAGTGTTCATAGTGATGGTTGGTTCCAAGGCTGGTGCTCCAAAGCCTACTTTTGGACTAGCCTGATGCTAGTTGAGTTGCCCCCAAATGGGCAGGTTACTTCTTGCTGTCTGAGGTGATTCAGGAACCCTTCACTTTAGTCAGGACTTGCTATGTGCCAGACATCTAAAACTCTGGGTGTATTTTTGAGGTCCCTCGTGGTTCTAGTGTCTTCCAGATCACACTGTTCAAGGTATTTTCTTCATAGTGCCCCCCCCCCAAGGCACCCAATCTGAGCCAGGCCCAGGCTAGCAAAGAGTTCCTGGCACATGGCTTTCCTCCCAGGGATCCTGTGTCCAGTAGTGGCTCAAGACCTAGTCTGTGATGTGATGGTGAATGCCTTTTATTCCCAGGTGGATCTCTGTGAGTTCAAATCCAACCTGGTGTACATAGTCAATTTCTGGGCAATCAGGGCTATATATAGAGACCCTGTCTCAAAAAAAAAAAAAAATTTTCCAGTCTGTGAATTAGGCTGATCTGGGCTCTGGGACAGAATGTCTACATGGAAGAGGTTGGGGACAGCTTCCCTGGGGAAATGCCCCCTGGCTCCAACTGAGTGAAATAAGTCAGCAAGCCTCAGAAGGCAAGACTAGCCTGTGGAAAGGCCCTGAGGTGGAAAAGCTCCTGGACTTGAGATTCAGGAAGAATATAGTCATAGAGGAAGCCCAGGGTAGGGAGAGAAAGGTGGGTAGAGAGAAGTTTGCCCAAGGAGGCCTGGTGAGCCATCCCAAGGCACTGAGATTTTATCAAAAGAACACCATTCCAGGCTTAGTTTTATTGTCTTGTAAGTACAATTAACATTTCAGAGTGAGTAACAAAAGCCAAACCACAGGGCACCAAAAGTCCCAAGAGCAGATTTCAGGGGGAAGCTAGGGATGCTGGGAACAGGAAGCAGCTGAGCTGGCACCCAGACAACATTCCTAGGTACTGCTGGGGAGACCCAGGAGGAGAGAGCTGGGGAATCAGGTTCCTCTTTCTTCTGGTGTCTTCCAAACGTGGCTGCAGAAGTCTAGGGAAGGCCACAGGTCCCTGGGCACACAACTCCTGTCATCTGAGCACCATGGGAGTTATCAGTGGCCCTAGCGAGGTCTGGGGACACTTTGCCATGGATGGAGATAGCGGAGGTTGTGGCTAAGGGCAAGACAGGCCTCTGGGTTCGGGCTCAGGCTCAGCCGATTCCCAGCCACACAGTCTCACTCTTGCGCCTAGCTTCCTGATTGACAGAGTGGACTGAATTCTCACCTGGCAAAAGGCTGAGAGGTGAGGGGATGAAGCATCTAGCTCAACTGGCCGTCTTCACGGTCACTGCCTTTTAAGAGCCTTTGACTTCCCCAAGGCTTTGACTTCCCAAGCCCTTCTGCAGTCTGTGTCCATGCTTCCCATGAACAGCCCTGAACGCTAAGCTGGGCTCTGGGTCATGGCTCACCAGCCCACAGCTGGGATGTTCCAGATGGGAGTCCATCCTCCCAACCTCTTACCTCCTGACTCCACTTCCTGCCCTGCATCCAGGTGGCCTGGCTGTCTCTGTGGTGAGGGGTAAATGTTGATGCTGTGGATGTTACAAGCCGGCTTGAGGCAAGTTTCAGCCGTGAGTCACTACCTCCATGTCATGTGAACAGCCTTCACCACACACTCCCCTGCCTTGATGGACTGAAACCCTGTGAGACCACAAGCCAAAAATCTGTCTTTCCTCCTTTACATTGTTTCAGTTAGATTGTGGTCACAGTGCTGTGGGAATTAAGAAGGAGGTGGATTTGGGGGGGGGGGTTTGTGTGTGTGTTTGTGTGTGTCTGTGTCTCTGTGTGTGTGTGTGTTGCACATGGAGGCCAGGGGAAGATGTCAGGGTCCTTCTCTGTCTCTTTTTATCCAACTCCCTGGAGACAGGGACTCACACTGAGTCCTGAGTCTGAGTCTGGAACTAGGCTGGCAACTAGCAAGCCCCTGTGAGCCTCCTGTCTCCACCCCCACAGCTCTGGGTTATGGGTGTTTATAGCCACATCCTGCTTTTTACATGGTTGCCGGGGATTCGAACCCAGCCAGGTCCTAAGGCTTGTTTACCAAGTGTTCTGTCTTAGGGTTTCTACTGCTGCAGTGAAACACCATGATCAAAAACAAGTTTGGGAGGAAAATGTTTACTCGTCTTACACTTCCACGTTGTAGTCCATCATTGAAGGAAGTCAGGACAGGGACTCAGACAGGGCAGGGACCTGGAGGCAGGAGCTGATGTGGAGGCCATGGAAGGGTGCTGCTTCCTGGCCTGCTCCACATGGCTTGCTCAGCTGCTTTATTACAGAACCCAGGACCACCAGCCCAGGATGGCCTCGCTCACAATGGGCTGGATCCTCCCCCAGCCATCACTAATTTAGAAAAACGCTCTACTGGTTTGCCTACAGCCTGATCTTAATGGAGGCGTTTTCTCAGTTGGGGTTCCCTCCCCTCAGATGACTCTAGCCTGTGTCAAGTTGACATAAACTATCCAGCTCACACTCGTACACATTGAGTCATCGCCCAGCCAGTGGATTCCTTCTTCAATGGACAGACAGGGATAGCATCCAGAGGCTGGGTCAGCTGTGGTTTTTTGATTTGTTTTGTTTTTCTGATCTCTCTGGCTAGGCACTAAGGACACAGCCAAGCCAGCCAGAGTCACTTTCCTTGAAGGAGGGTGTTCTGAGATTCAGGGAGACCAAGGTCTAGAACATGTGTGTGGGACAGTTTGCCTGGCAGGGGAATCGACTGGGACAGAGACACCTTGTGTCCTGCTCCTGCTCTCCCCGACATTTCAGGCCCCCCCCAAAAGAAACAAGGTCTAGAGCATGTCTCTCCGTTTCACAGTTGGGAAGCTGTGCCTCCCAGAGTCCCCAGGGCACTGTGTGGAGGGAGCTATGGCCAGGGTGGGGGTCAGCTAGCCTAAGTGAGCAACACCAACGCTTGCTGGTCCCATGCTGGCTTTACAAACACGTTGACATTATAAGTAGACAGTAAGGACAGGGTGTGGAGGTCTACGCCTGTGGTCCCAACACTCGGGAGGCTGAGACAGGAGGATGACTTGAGCCCAGGAGTTCAAGACAGCATAACACAATCTTTAAAAGAAAGAAAAA